GTAATAGTAAACTTACTCTATTCTGAATGTTAGTACTATATTTTTTGCAAATCATTTAGTATGTATTTTAGTTTCATATTTAGTGCCATGTGTGAGCAAATTCTACAGGAAGTTGGTACAAAATGAGGCAAAAGCGAAAGAATTCGGCAAAAGAAATGTTAGAGAAGTTACGAGGGCAGCATAATGATAATCATAGTGAAAGCTCCCAAGGTTTGCAACAACAATTTAATGATAATCATCTGGATGCCCATTCAACAAATGTCAACAATACCATTTCATCTAATGATGAAGAATTAGACTCTTCCATAAACCCAAATGAAACACAATCACAACAGAAAGAGGAGCCCTTGGTTGTCAAGATTAGAGGTAATATCTCTCCAAAAATTTAAATTCTATTTATACATGTCGACATTAATTTAAGGTTACTAAAAAAGTGATCATGTTTCGGATGCTGAACTCATATTCCCTCTGTTTTTATTTTTTCTTTTTGGGCTTGGCTTTAGAGTAGAATGGAAAACAATACATGGAGAGGGTGCTTTTATATAATTTTTTTTATACAGCTTTTATATATGCTTTCGTACTATAACAGGAGTGAGGAGAAGCTGAGATTTACCTACCACTCTAGAAATTCCGTTGAACATGGATGTTAATTGTAGTATGACAACTATTTAAAAATTTAACTTATAAAAACTTAATATGGAATAAGTCAAACCAGAAAATTTTAGTAACAGATGTTACTTCTAAAAATGTTCAAGATATGAATCCCAGATAATTTTATTATTATATTGAAACTTGTTTTGCTATTTTTTAATTTTCTACCGTTGATAAACTAACTTTGCTTTGTGTACATAATGGTAGATACTTCTTCAGGAGAAATTGTGACTCGAAAAATGCAAGCAAATCAGATTTGGCATTTGGAAAAAACTAAAAAAGTTATTGTTGAACTCAATGGTAACGGACAAGGCAATGACAATGGTGCAAACTTACTTGTGAGGTTTCTTGGTAAGCTTGCTCAAAACTCAACAATTTGTCCAATATCAGTTGAAAAATGGAATTGGATGCCAGAAGACAATAACCGCCAACAATGGAATTATATTGAGGTAATTATCTAAATTTCCAGCAATTTAATTTAATTTAATTTATTGTCTCTCTTGTCATTAAAGATTGATTTATGCATATAATATTTGAAGGAAAATTTTGAGTTTGATTATGCTGGTGGCATCAAATGGGCTATGAGCACCTTAGGTGAAAGATGGAAGGCCCACAAATATAGGTTAAGGTGTAAGAATTTCTATCCTAATAAAAGTAAGGAGGATATACTTGCTAATCCTCCTCCAGATGTTAATTGTGTTGATTGGACTGCTTTTGTGCATCACTATAAGGATGATAAGATGAAGGTAAACATTCTTTATAGGAAATTCTTTTACTTTAGGCATATCTTGAAAAACTTGGTATATTATGATTATCATATTTTAAAATTTTAGGCACGAAGTATACAAAACACACAAAGTCGTAAGAAACTTAAAATCTCACATGCTGGTGGTAGTAAAAGCAATGCAATGAGAGGCCGTGAAATGGTAAAAGCATATTTATTGCAATCCCAATGTCAACCCTGATAATTTATTATTATTATTATTATGTTACTTTGGCATGACAATTCAATATATACTGGATCCAAGTTGTTTTATACAAAACTTAAAATGTGAGTATTTTATTGGTTTCTTTGTGTTACTTCTAATTATAAATTTAAAGCTGCTAGTGTATTCATTTCTGGGTAGCTTTACTCTTTTCTTATTCTTTCCAATTTCAATGAACCCATTATTGCAAGCATGTTAGTAACATATCATCATTGATAATTTATTTTTTTATCAATGACATTAGGAGTTACAATTGGGAAGACCTGTATGCCGAAGTGAGGTTATTTTATCAACTTTATTGAAGAAGGACGGAAGCTACGTAAATGAAGAAGGGAAGACTTTGGTTGTAAGTAAATAATAATACAATAACTTTTTGGATGAAAAAACTAGCAGCATATTTGATTATGTTTCTTTTATCTTGTTTGATGATTTAGGTTATATCCTCATATTAAGTCTATTGCTTTTCTTTCTATTTATAGCTCCATTTTTACGAAATCATACTGTCGGTTTTTATGTTTCTTGGTGAAAAACATAAAAAAAACTAGCAGCATAGTTGGTTCTCATTAAGTTTCTTGGTGCCAATCTCTATCAGGGGGATTTTTTACCTTCTTTGGACCATTTTTTATTTTTATTTTTGTTTTCTTTGCCTTTTTGTTCTACATGTGGACAAAATTCTCAAATCTTTTATGTTTCACTATATACAAACAACTTCTTATAAATTTAGTCCTTTCCTATAAAATTTAGATAGAAAATAATATAAAAATCCTGTAACTTTGGTCTTAGAAATACACAGTCAGGCTCAATGGTAAAGGAATTATTCATAACTAAGTACTTAAAAATACTTTAATATCTTTTTGTTGATTGAACCTTGTTGCAAATGTTATTGATAATTCATACTTATACGTTTGTTGTTGTCTCTGTGGTAAAAGTTATGTATTGATTTCTAAATTGATGAACTGCCATAATTTTATTATCTTTATAAGATAACTATTGATATCTCCTTATTTTCTAAATTACAAATAAAATTCTTATTTGTCACATATAGGATAACTATTGATATCTCCTTATTTTCTATGGACTTATATATCTATATTGAAAGCATGATTTGTTACAGCTTTTTGCTATGTTGAAAAATTAAAGCATGATTTATTGAATTGCTTCATCAAACTGGAATTATGCAAACTGTGAGGTCAAACCATTCTGCCAAAGCTTCAAGAATTTTGCCGAAGAGAAAGTGCTCTTCCTGATGTGTATTTGTTGGCTGACTTTAACTATTTTGTAGGAAAAGATATCAGAGCATCTATCTCAAGATCAGGAGCGTGCTGCCACTATAGGTGTTTCATCAAAGGTATTAGCTTATCCTGATGATGCTATTGGAAAGGTATATGGAGCTGAGCCTTCAGGTCGGGTGCGTGGCTTAGGCGCTAGTGTTTGCCCCTCCAATGTTTTTGGAATGCCAAGACATTCTATTGGTTTTACCAATTTTGGTAGTTCCAGTCAACAATGTGTTGAAGACTTGAAGAAACATGTACAATCTTTGGAAATAAAGTTGGATGGATATGAAGAGATAAAGGTTGGATATGAAAAAACCAAGATTGCATATGAAGAGACCAAGGAGCAACTTGTGCAAACTCAAAAGCAATTGGCTTCTCTTCACAAATTTCTACTAGATAAATTTGGAAGTGAGTTAGCTACTTTCAACCAATATGTTTTACCCTCTTTGTTATAATTGGTTAGAAACTTAGATAATTTTGTTTTTTTAAAATCATTTGCAAGCTTTATTTCTTCTCTTTCTTATCATGAAGCTAAATTCTTTTGGTTTTTGTACAGGTGTGATAGAGTAAATAGCACTTCAAAGGACTAGGATGCATAGAAGAACAGGTCCTGGAAGATTGATATTTGCAAAGAGCTATACTTTTAGTTTAGGAGAATGATTCATGGAAAATTAATGATATTTTGAACAATTAGAGATAATCACTATATTTTTCTTCTATTACCCAAATTGGTTCACTGGCTTGAACATTTTCTTTTTTGGGATTAGACAATGAGGTATTCTTTGAGTGTTGAACTAATAGGGGGAAGTTATTTGCCCCTCCATGAGATACTTATGGTGAGATTTGAAATGCTTGTAAAATCTGCCAGTGTAGGGCAATTAAGCCACATGTTGTGGTTTTTTTTTCCTGATACATACATGTTGTGAGTGTTTCACTATTATATGAAAAATATTTGTTACACATCAAATTATGTACACATAATACCTCAGGGCAAATTTGCATCATTAAAGGGTGTATCATGTTATTTTTTTTTATTTTTTTTTTGTAAATTATCATGTTATTTTTTAGATTACATACTAAATAATAAAAGTAATTTTTAATATTTTTTATTTTTATAAGATTAATAAAAAAACGTAATATTATTAAATTAAAAAAAAAATTCATATATTTAGCCACATTCATGAATGTGGTTAAAAAAAAATTCAGACTTAATTAGCCACACTTTTTTATTGTGGCAAACTATACAATTTAACCACATTTATAAATTGGTTAAATTAACAATAATTGTGGCTAAAAAAAGGCTACCACACTCAATCAAAATATGGCAAAATGAAGAAAATAATGTGGTTAAATTATTGCAAAACCTGTTTTAACCACATTTAATCAAAATGTGGTAAAGTTTGTTAGCCACATTTTTTATCATTGTTTGCCACATTTTTTAATGTGGCTAAATAACCTTTTTTTTGTAGTGATATATGATCAAAATGTAAACAAAATGAAAATTATAAAAACGAAACTCGTATTAAAAACTTAAATATATTATATCCATAAAAAAGTAAATTTTTTTTTTGGCAGAGGTAAAATATTCTTACCACTAAATATTTCTACTATTAATTTACTATCTCTCTAATATAATTATGTATCTTGAAAAGTATATTAAAAATTATTTTTTTCTTTTTTTCAAAAATTATCGGCTGAATAGTGGAATCAAATAGTAATTAGAGTAATAGTAGATTAGTAATAAGAAAAAATGAAAAGAATCTTGAAGTAGCGAATATGGAAATGCCGTCTACTCATGTTACCTGAAGAAGAAAATTTAAAAAATGCCGTCTAATCATACAAAGAGAAAAAAAAAAATGCCTTTTTTTATTAAAAAAACAAAAACTTTGCTCCGTTACGGATAAAAAGCCAAAAGGGTGCAGAACCATCTTTGAAAATTATGATCTTGAACTTTGGGCGGTGTCGTTGTCTCTGTCTTTACCATTAACATCCACGCCACGCTGATCTGTTGGCTTTAGCTACCACGTTAATTTCCTCTATAAAGATGCTCACATTTTTCACACAAAATGTTGTTCATTCATCACATAATATGGCATTTAACGCGTTTTTATTTCTTGGTTTCTTCGCTCTTGTTAGCGCATTACCATCGGTTACTTTTGCAGAAGCTGTTGCACCCACTCTTGATGTTTCTTCCCTGAATCGAAGCTATTTCCCCGCGGGTTTCATTTTTGGGACAGCATCCTCGGCGTACCAGGTATATATAAAGAGGTAGGATATTCCTACTACATATTTTTTCTACTATCACTCCACTACCACTTTAATTACCATTGGATTCAAAAGTTTTTTTCTCTCTCTTCATTCAACTTTTCCTTTAATCAAATGGTGATTAGAGTGGTAGTGGAGTGGTGGTAGAAAAAATAGGTAGTTAGAATATCATAGCTCATATATAAAATATGATATAAGTTATTCTAGCTATCATTCTTTTTAATTATCTTTGTCTACCTTTCTCTAATATCGTTAGATCAGAATATTAAAAAAAAAGAAAGAAAGATAAATGTTAGTTAAGATTCTAATAAGACAAAGTTAGATAGAAAAAAATGATAATTAGAATAACTTATTATCCATGTAATATATAGATCAGTACTCTCAATTCTTTAAAATGCAGTGTTAATGAACATTAATTAAAAAAGAAAAAAAAAATCAATGATTTAAAGTTTGATATATAAAATGTATATGTTTGTTAGAATTTACTTAATTGATCTCTTTTACTCATAACTGTCACTTATAGTTAACTTTCTAAACTACATTCTACACTTCGAGGATCCAAATCTCAATTTAAAACACCTTTGTGTGGATCTACAGCACTAATTCGAGATAAATTCTAAAACAAGTTGATTAGATGATTTTGTTGTGTTCATGATATGTATATACAGTACGAAGGTGCGGCAAATGAAGATGGCAGAGGAGCAAGTATATGGGATACCTTCACACATAAATATCCAGGTATCTGATCTTTCCGATTCTCTCTCTAACATACAAGCAAATAAAACAAGAGAAGCCATGCTTTCCTGTTTTTCTTTGCATTCTCTTAATTATTAATAAAAAATTTGAGACAACTCTTCATTTTTTGTGTTTATTATATTATTTGTTATTGATTATATATATTCATTAAAGTAAGCTTTTAATTCATCTTAGCTTGTCTAATGCTCTCTACGGCAATATAGAATTTTTTAATCAAATGTAGAAAATATGCATATTATAGTTTCGAGGACAAACAACAATTATTATTGGAAATCTTCCAAATCTTTTTATTCTTCTCTTAAAATAAATAAATATAAAAAAAACATCATTTTGAAATTTGAAAGTGCTACGAATTAAACATTTAAAATACAATAAATAGCATCATGCTCTTTAGTGTTATTTCATACATCATATTTTATTTCAATTATTGTATTTTCTTTTAGAATTGTATTACAAATATCTACTCTTTATAATATGATAACCATAAATATAAATTATTATATTTTCATAAATATATAATAATACAAACATTAATTTTTTTAAAAAAAAAATCATTTTTCTCATTGCCAAATTGTTAATATTTATTATAAAATTAGTTTAGTAAAAAATCTTATTAGATAAAACACATAAATTACAAGCCATTATATTTTCCACAAAACCTTACCATGAACTATTTCTCGTCATAAAGATTAAAGAAGCACTAATTTTTTCTGGACAACCACGTTCTACTTGAGATCACGAAGACAACAATTTTATTAGCATATCTTGTGAAAATGGTCAATCATCTTTAAAATGTGATATGATTTCCTATTTAATTTATTTAATTTAATTTTTTCATACTCTAGAAGTGGACATAACTTGGATTAATTTGGTTTTTAGCACGAATTGAACCGAATTGATAAAGTGATTCCATTCAAGTTTTTAAAAAATAGTTCAGTAATGGAGTAAATTAAATAAATCACTTTAAAAAATATAATTCTTTTAATTCAATACATATTAATTCACCGTTAAGTTCGTTTCATTTTATTTTATTTTTTTCACATCCCTATTAACCTTACAAATATAATCTTACTAATTAATAGTATTAAATGTGCAATTCGCAGATAAGATAGAGGATAGAAGCAATGGAGACGTGGCAATAGATGAATATCACCACTACAAGGTACGGTCAATGTATATATATATATATATATATATATATATGAGACAAGATCCTTTGACACCGGTGTCAAAAAAAAAGTTTGACACCTCATCTGAGAGCCGTTAGATTAAAAAAAATCAACGATTCTGATTTGTAAGCATGTGACACCATTGATTTTTTTTAATCTAACGGCTCTTAGATGAGGTGTCAAACTTTTCCTTTGACACCGGTGTCAAAGGATCCTGCCTCTATATATATATATATATATATATATATATATATATGACAAAATCATTTCTGCTGTCGCTATATACATGTATATCTTGGTTTTTTTTTAAAAAACAAAATAAAGTAATGGAGTCCACTTTGTTATCTCTTGCGCAAACATCATCTCTCTGCCGTCGTGATAGAAAAAACAGCCCCTATATCTCTATACAGAGGAATGATCCGTTTTCAAAATTTTTTTACAAATTACACCATGTATTCCCGAAAACACATAGGATAACCTAGTGTATTTCTGAAAATACATAGTATAATTTATAAGAGTTTGTAAATAAAAAATCTATAAATATAACTCTCATATATATATATATATATATATATATATATATATATATATATATATATATTTGGCAGAGATAAGGTCAATATTTTAGATGATAGTAGCCAGGAAATCAACATAGAAATATATATAGTATGAACCACTAGTCCCAGAGACATTTGACCGGCAAGTGGTATATACTGTAAACTATAATAAAAAATAAAGAAAAAAGAAAATGTAATATACTCAAACAATTGTTTGTTTTGTATTTAGTTATATATGTTTGTCTGTGCAATAAAATATTGTGCATTGATACTTTACAGGAAGATGTTGGGATCATGAAGGATATGAATGTGGATGCTTACAGATTCTCCATCTCTTGGTCTAGAATACTCCCAAGTGAGTTGAATATAAATGACCAATTCCTATCTATTAATTAATTTTACTTAAAATATATAGATGTTTCACATTAACCATTTTAAATTTTTTCATACACTATCCACAGAAGGAAAGCTTAGCGGAGGTATAAACCAAGAAGGAGTCAAATATTACAACAATCTCATTAACGAGCTGTTGGCTAACGGTCAAAATCCAAACTACGTTTACTTAAATTTTTATGGATTAGTGTTTATCATATTTAGGAGATAATTTTATCTTTTCTAGATATATATAAAAGTATATGAGACTTATATTTTCTTCTTTTTTTTTTCTTTTCACATGAGTCCCATACACTTTTATATGTGTGGAGGAAATGATTTTTTTTCCTATCACATGAGAAATATTAATCCCATATTTTTATTATTTGAAGTTTGTGTTTTAGCATTTCCTCGAGCAATTGATAAAAATTATAATTAATTAAATATTAATTTAGCAGGTTTACAACCATTTGTGACTCTTTTTCATTGGGATCTTCCCCAAACTTTGGAAGATGAGTATGGTGGCTTCTTAAGCCCTCGCATTGTGTGAGTGACACTAAATTTAATTTTCACCCAAATTGTAGCTATTATAATTAGATGCATGACACTGTGAGTTGACGATAAGTTTTTTTTTTTACTAGAATACTTAAAAAATTATGTTGACATTAATTTTGTCCACCAATTTAGTTCTTGGAAAATTTAGATCAATTTAATTATTTAGTAATAAAAAAATGAAACTAATGTAGTCCTTCGATAATTTAAAGTTGACATAATTTAATTCATTAATAATATTAAGTGATATTAATTTGGTCCTTCGATTTTATAATTTATCCAATAGTATTAGTGGCAATTTAGTTAGTGCATCAGAGATGAATAGGAGGTGGAAGAATCTCGGTTTGATCCCCACTAATATCACTTTTTGGGGGAGAAGGGGGGGGGGTGGCATATATATAATCTCGCATTTGAGATTAGTTTCATAGTTGGCTCAAAGAGTTGAAGTTTGTGAGAATATCTAGGAGAGCCTACTCACCTCAAACTGATAATTAGGGTGGTATCAAAAAAGAAATATTTTATAATTTGTGCACAAACTGATGATTTTGATTTAAGTTTGAATGATTGATAGATTAAATTCATCTTATCTATTTTTTTATGACTAAAGTCAACACAACTTTTCATCCACGAAAGTGAATGTCTATTCTTTTCAATAAATCATGCACATAAAGTCCTTAGATTTTGAAATATGGATAATTGACCGGTTCATCTCATCTTATGTTAAAATTTATTTATTTTTTAAAAAAATCACATGATTATGGAGACTTTAGTACCATGGTTATAGACTAATTCTGGTATTAGAACAAAATGTGTAATCCATTAACAACACCATTTAATATTGTTTCATGATTAATTTTTAGAAATGATTTTCGAGATTATGCGGAGCTTTGTTTCAAGGAATTTGGAGACAGGGTGAAGCATTGGATTACTTTGAATGAGCCATGGTCTTACAGCATGGGTGGCTATGCAACCGGGATGCTTGCACCAGGTCGATGTTCTCAATGGCTGAATCTAAACTGCACTGGTGGTGATTCAGGGAAAGAGCCGTACTTGGTTTCACACTACCAACTTCTTGCTCATGCTGCAGCTGTGCAACTGTACAAGAAGAAGTACCAGGTTTATTTATTATAACTTTAATTGATAAGAATTTTGAAGCTTTAAACAATTTATTAAACTTCAATATTATTATCAGGGTCTAAAGGTACGTACTCCAAGTATGGTTGTTATCTAATTGGCAAAAACACTTTATGCAGGCATCTCAAAAGGGTGTAATAGGCATAACCTTGGTGTCTCACTGGTTCGTGCCGTTTTCAAATAACGAACTTGATCAAAACGCTGCAGCGCGAGCAGTTGACTTCATGTTTGGATGGTATGTGTTTAGCTCCATATTGGAATCTTAATCATTCTCCAAATAAACGTAGACTAACTAGAATCACTAATTAGGACGAATTAAGTAGCTACTATATAACACCTTTCTTCTAATATTTTTAAAAAGCAAAGGATAGATTATACTAATTATGCACATAATATGAGAATACTGTCTCTGAAACTTATTTGTAAATCTTGCATTGCATATGAGAGACCTATACTTTGCATATGATCATATCATGAGGCAAATTAGTGTAATCATACATGCTAATTAACTTAAACACCGCCGGTTATATGTATATAATGTATGTGTTTTATACAAAAAAAAAATAATGTATGTGTAAAAGAGCAGTGTTTCCTAAAGTATTTGTTTTTTTATTCATTAATCGAAGAATATGAAGTAATATTATTTTTATGGAGAAACTCCAAATTATTACTATCAGTTTTTTCCTCCTTCACGGCTTCATCGTTCTTTGCCTTTCTTTGCTCTGATCCAACTCTTTTTCGAAATGATTTCATTTCGAGGCTTTATTTGTAGTTTTTTTATATGCTTTTTATTAGTGTGTAACAACATTTATAATAAAATAATCAAAATGAATTTATAAATGAAGATACCGCGTTCATATCGATCTTTCAAGTGGCGGAGGCACATGCATTCTCGCCATAGCTTCGGCCGGGCTAAACTTTAATAAATCATACTTATTATATATAATTATGTAATTATATATGATTTGGTCCGGGTTAAAATTATAATTTGGCCCGGGCTACAATTTGTAATTTGGCCTTATGACCTTATCTAAAGTTTAACATATTTTTGTTAAGAGATTTGGATAAGTTGTATTAAGTTATATGTTTAATTTTCACTTGTATAAAAAAATATTTTTAGTAAAATTAAAAAATATTTAATAAAATTATAATTCTTCTTGGTACTGTCTGCTCAAGTGCTCTGTATTTAATATAATTTAAATGCGAAGGGTTATATTTACAAAAATTTTGTTTACAAACTACACTATGTAGGTTACACTATATATTTCTGAGAGTATATAGGATAATTTACAAAAATTTATAAAAAAAATTTATAAACGAATCATTTCTCAATCTAAATAAATTATAATATGAACTAACAAAAACTAAGAAAAATAAATACACATATAATTTTTTTGACTCGGCTCAAATTTTTGAGTCCACTAGATATTTCCTCCTTTTTCTGGGATAACCTTTCACGTGGGTCATGGCACAACAATCTTCCCAGTGAGACATTTTTTTTGGGGCAAATTATATAAAACCACGTTGTAGTTAGGTGTTTTTTTAAAACCTATTCTCTATTAATGGAAATATACAAATAATGTTGGAAATTGGAGTAAGGCTTGTGGTTCTGATTCGCAATCATAGGTCCAAAAAAGGCTTTTGAGTATATTTCTTTCTCCTTATGTCTTTAAAAGTTAGGTCTTTGGTCGAGGCCCTCAGGCCCAACAGTAAGTCGGGTATTTTTCATTATGACATTTATTGATTGCAGGTTTATGGGACCACTAACAACAGGAAACTATCCGCAAAGTATGCGTTCCCGGGTTGGAAGCCGATTGCCAAAGTTCTCTAAAAAGCAAGCCAAGCTACTCAATGGTTCATTTGATTTTCTTGGACTTAACTATTACACCACTAACTATGCTGCCAATGCACCTCAACTAAGCAATGCCAGACCCAATTACCTTACAGATTCTCTTGTCAATCTTACAAGTAAGGGCTCCTTTATATGCCAATTCTCTAAATTTGATATATTGAATTTGATAATAGCATGTCTTTTTGTTTATGTGATGGCAGCTGAGCGCAACGGGAATCCAATAGGTCCAAGGGTTAGTATATGGCCACATCAAATTGTAGCTAACCGTTAATATTAATTTGTTTGATTACGTAAATAACTTTTATTTATAATTACATTTGCAGGCAGCTTCAAAGTGGTTATATGTTTATCCTAAAGGAATTCGAGAACTTTTGCTCTACACTAAGGAAAAGTACAACAACCCCTTGATTTACATCACTGAAAATGGTAAATTTATCAAAACCTCATATTTATGATCTTGACATAGAACAATTTTATTATAAAGTTCCATGTTTAGGTGTGATTTTTCTTCTACATATTAATTAGCATATTTATGAAATTTTATATTTTGCATATTAATTGCACTTCATTTGTAGGTATTGATGAGTTCAATGATCCAACACTATCTCTCCAGGAAGCCCTTATAGATACTTTTAGAATTGACTATTATTATCGTCATCTCTTTTATCTTCAATCTGCAATTAGGTAAGTTATTTTTTATATGTTAAATGATTCCTTTTTTTGTTAATATTTAACTTAATTCTTTCATTTTGTTGACTTTATAAGGGATGGTGTAAATGTAAAAGGATATTTTGCATGGTCATTGCTGGACAATTTTGAATGGGCTTCAGGTTATACAGTGCGGTTTGGAATCAACTTTGTGGATTACAAAAATGGTTTAAAGAGACACCAGAAGCTCTCTGCTAAGTGGTTCAAGAATTTTCTTAAAAGATATTAATTAGACTTTGCACAGTCGATCCAATAAATAATGTAATGAAGAAGGTTAATTTTAAATAATTATGTGATCCTTCATTCTCAAAATAGTAGTTATATTCCTTTGGTTATGCTTTCTCTATCGTATATTGGATGTGCGCGAGTTTGTGTGTGGTTTTTTTTTTTTAACATAACCATCTTTTTCTGAAATAATATATTTAGACGTATGCAATTTCACAATAATATGAAGTGATGGTAACAATAAGTTGTGAAAAATAAACTAATTAAGCAGATCTTATAAGCACAATTATAATGTGGGTTGAAATTTTTTACAATTATTTTCAGTTACATAGAATCATAAAAGCATGTTACCATGGAATTATATACCATCATTTACCTTTACATTTATGATGTAGTTTTCTTTTACATATATTTTAATAAATGATTAAATTATGATTACCAAAAATATGATTAAATTATTTTTTCTTAAAAAAAATATTATACTCAATGTTTTAATTTTTTTATAAAAAATATTCAAAGTTCATTAATGATGTTAGTAGGAATATGACTTTTATACTCAAGAGAGATAGTGAATTGAATATTATAATTAATATTTTTTTTTCAAAAGCCCGTTAAAGTTTTTAAATCAACTTTCATGCAAACTCTGATATATGCAAACTTTACCAAAATATTCAAAGAATTCATAACATATAATCTATCAAAATTGTAGAACCTATACTAACACATAAAATATCAAAGTAACAGTTAAAGTGTTAGAAATAAAGAGTACTTTAGAGAATTGTAAACACAATATATCCTGATTCGATCACCGTCATTGTGACTTATGTTCAGACTGAAGTCGATTGATCAATTCTTTCACTCTCCGTCAAGCTTCACGGGTATTAGACAAACTGCTACAACCTCCAAACTTTACAGATCCTTGGTGACTTTACAACAATCTCCAAGTTTCTAAGTATTTGGAAACCTTACAACCTTTCCCAAATTTTCTTAAGCAATGAGCTATCTCTCAATTTCTTAGAGTCTTACTACCCTTTAACTCAAGAATACAATGCGAAATTATTTGAATAAGGATATACACTATTAAAGTGTGGATAATACAAATTGAAGTTCTATGAGTATATGATTTTTCACAAAAAAATGAGCTTAAAGACTTTAAATTATAAAAAATACAAATTGTTCAGAGCCGTTGGGAGTGAGTATTTATAAATTTCTAAACAAAAATAATTGTTACTAGCGGTTGAAAAGTTTATTGGTAATAAATATTCAATTACTTTTTGATAAATATTCGCTTACTTTTTCACTAGACATAAAATGGATACGAATTCCAGGCTTCCAATAGAATTTTACACAATAAATCACCTTTGGAATATAGGAAATTTATTTGGTCGAACTCTGAAGATCGACAGAAACTCTATTCACAAAGATGACTAAGGAGAAGGTGAATTCACTGATCGCGCCAAATTCCCCGCATCTGTATAGAAGTTGATCTGAGCAAAGGTTTCCTTCGAGTTCGAATGAACAAAGCGATCCTCCCCAAAATCCAACAGCCACTCCCGAAACGAGTAAGCAGGAAGTTACAGCTAATGGAGATGCTTTCGGACCTTGGATGGTCATCCAGCGAAACAGTCGCGGTGGAAGGGTATATGAATGTGTGGCTGGAAGAGAATTCTTAATTAACACAACAACTCATCTTGAGAGATTGCAGTCTATCCCACCCTTTGTTTGGGTTAATTTTGCGCATCAGGAAAATGCTGGTCAAAGATTGGAACGTCCAAATTTTGATGATACATCTTGAAGGAAATGGTGTGACGAATTGGTTGACTGCATATGCAAATAATTTCTCTTGGCCTGTCTAGATGCTGGATGATCCTCCGCCTAGTTGTTTACAAAAAAATTTGTTGAGTGACCAAATAAGAGTTCATTGGCCTAAGCTTGTCGTAGTCTACCTGTCTTGTCTTTTACCTTCCTTTTGCATAAAAAAAGAAGAAGAATTCTATTACTTTTCAAAAAGTAATAAATTACTTTCATGAAAAAAATGATTTTATTCAACAAACTCAGTTTAATTTGATTTTGATAGACTCCAACCATTTTATTCTTTAAACTTTGGAAAATTATTTTGAGATTTTCAATCATGTCAAAAATATTTCCATTAATTTTTTAAATTATTTTCAAGAATTAAAGTACCATGATATATCATCAATATAGATTTTCTTAAAATGTTATGATTAATATTAAAGTTTATAAAATGAATTTTAATAAAGAAAAATACATTAAAATTTCAATTTCAATAATCAATATCAATTACTCTGTACATTAATTTTCGAAAATTTAACTCCAGGGCACGGAAACGGAGGATGCATTGTGTTGGCGGGAAATAGCGACGAAATTTACACACTGCATTGGAATTGCTCTGGTAAGCCAAATAATAGCGCAAGACACATGCCTACCGTTGGATGCAGGACCATTGCGGATCTTAGCCGTACAAAATCACAACCTAGAATTTTTGATTGGGTATTGATTATTGGATTAAAAACATTAACCGTTGATCTCATGAATCTGTTTGGCAGTTGGCCGCAGCAGCGTGATCTGCAATACGGATGACAGCACTATAGCGCACCCAAAGCATTTTCAGTTTTTCAACTTGCAAGCCCTAGTGTTGAGTGCAGGAGCTAGGTGAATCGAAGTTGATCGCTCTCAGTCACAGACTCTGCTTCTAATTCTGTATTCGAGGTTCATTCGATTTCAAAATCCAGAGTTATTCAATATATTAGGGTGAAATTTCCATGGATGGAGGGAGTAGCAGTGAAAGCCCAACCGAAGCAAAGAAAGCTAAGTCCAAGACACCACGGAAACCAAAAGAAACCCTTCTGAAGCAGAGTCTCTCTCTCTTTCGATGTTGCATTCTCAATGTTTCATAACTTTTATATTTTCAACCTAATTTTTATTTACTATTTTTGAATTTGCAGAATCTCCAGCTGAGTTCTTTGCAGAGAACAAGAACATCGCAGGATTTGATAATGTAAGCATAATTCTAAAATAAGGTGTTTGATTTGGTATATCTGCATTTTCGTGAGATTTTGAATGATTTTCTTTATCTGAAATTATGTGGATTTCACTTCAGCCTGGAAAATCTCTTTATACTACTGTTAGAGAGCTTGTGGAGAACGCACTGGACTCGGCGGAATCCATATCCGAGCTTCCGGTGGTGGAAATAACTATGTAAGTGTGCAATTACAAGTATAATGAATAATGAACAAGTAAATGAGCGCATGTGGAAAAGTGATTTTTTTCATGCTGACTTGGTTGTTGCAGCGAGGAGATAAGGAAAAGCAAATTTAATTCTATGATTGGTCTTGTTGACCGTGAACGTGTAGATGCAGAATTGTATGACGATTATGAAACTGTTAAGGCTCGTGAGGTGTGTTTGATTTCATTCTGTTACATTGGTTGTTGTGCTTAGATATACTAGTCTGGATCAAATTCTATGATTGGGTGGTATAAATTGTGAATTTGTTATGGTAACAAATTTAAAATCATGATCTAAACCTCTCTGTATAAGGTTCTGTGATTTGTCTCACATTTATATCTTCTAATGCAGAAACGATTAGCAAAAGAGGCCCGTGCTCAAGAATTACAAGCGAAAAATGCTGCTCATGGAAAGAAAGTGAAAGAGACTCCAGCTTCTAAGGGTATCAAGGGTCGAGGTGAGGCTTCATTTTACAGAGTTACATGTAAGGTGCGCATGATTTCTGCCTCAGGCCTTCGTTTGTGGTACTGTATTGATATGTATTGTGTTTTGATCCAGTAAGCAAAACTGTTTTATCTGATTTTGAAATCCAATTTCAAAGAATTTTCTCATTTTCCGTGATTATCTATCTCATTCCTGTCAGTGAATTAGACAGTCTCATGCTTGTTACTAATTTCAGGATAATGGAAAAGGAATGCCACATGATGACATCCCAAATATGTTTGGCCGAGGTCAGTCAGTTACTCGCTACCTCGGTTATCCATGAATTACCATTTTTTGGCATTTCATTAGTTATCTTTTTGTTGGGAGGAACTAGTAGAAACCTTACTTGCTGTAAGCTTATCTATTCATGCAGTTCTATCTGGTACAAAATATGGTTTGAAGCAGACACGGGGGAAGTTTGGTCTTGGTGCAAAGATGGTATTGGCCACATGCACTTGTTTAAATATTTCTCTCCCTTTGTTTTTGTTTTATTGACTTTGATGATTAACTGGTAACAGTTGCCTACTTTTCACTTGAAGTTGAAATACATACTGGTTCCAGTTGGCTTATTGATCTGTATTGTTCAATATGCAGGCACTAATATGGTCTAAAATGAGTACTGGGCTTCCTATTGAGATCTCTTCATCCATGAGAAGCCAAAATTATATTTCATTTTGCAGGCTGGATATTGACATTCACAAGTATGATTTTAAGTACTATAAATGTATTGATATTTAAGCTCCTCCAAATAAGCAAATACTTCAATTGTCAGGAATATTCCTCATGTACATTTACATGAAAAACGGGAGAACAAGGAGCATTGGCATGGAGCTGAAATTCAAGTTGTCATAGAGGGGAACTGGACAACTTACCGTGTATGTAATAATACTTATTTGGTGCAGTTTTAATAATTTCACTGCAAACTCCAGATACAATTGAGCAATTCTATTTTCTAAATACTTTGTTATCATGCTTATTGATTGTATCTGAAGACTAATACTGGTCATGTTTCATTAATATAAGCTCCTTTGTTTGCATTTGCAGTCAAAAATATTGCATTACATGCGACAAATGGCTGTTATCACCCCTTATGCACAGTTTCTATTTAAATTTGTGTCAGATGCACCTGAGTATGTATATATATTTATTCAGATTCTCCCTCAAAGAACTACATTGCACAATCATCTTATACTACCTTTTCTCTTTTGCAGCAAGAATGTCACTGTAAGATTTGCTCGCAGAACAGATGTAATGCCACCCATTCCTATGGAGACAAAGCATCATCCATCCTCTGTTGATTTGCTGCTAATTAAGCGACTTATTGCTGAAACTTCGAAGCAGAACCTTTTGCAGTTTCTTCAGCATGAATTTGTAAATATCAGTAAATCCTATGCTGAAAGATTGATTGGTAAGGAAAAACAATAATTTGTTAAAGCTTCTTTGTGCTTCTTATTGGGCACATATTTATGCAAGTCTTTTAAAAGAACATATCTAATGGTATTTATGAGCTTCAGCTAACTGTTTATGCAGTCATGCATCAAATAGCATTATTAAAACTGGTATTTGATTTGGCAAGAGGAAAGATAATAGTAAACTACGGTTCTCCACCTGAAAATAGTAATTTTTTTTTCCTGATAAAAACAATGTAATTGTGAGATGATTAAGTGAAGAGAGAAGATATGTCTCACTCTCTTTGTTGAAATTAAATTATGGAGTGATTAAGAGCCCTTTTCCCTGTTTTATATTCTGTTTTCTACTTGTAAATGAGTGATGTGTTAAGTTGCTTGCTGCAACTCTGTTGTATGTAGATATTTTTGACACTGAGGCTCATTAAGAGATACTTTGGGTTTCCCTGACATTAGTCATCATAGTAAATTAGTGATAATTCTTTTTTCTGCGGTTAGAGGAAGTTAATATTCACATGGTTCAATGTGCATATTTTAGATGCCTAATCTGTTATCTGCTACACTGTTTACCTTTTCTTTTTCAGGAGAAATGGGTCCAGACTTCGGATCAAAAATGGCTGTGAAGTCTCTAACTTCACAACAAATAGTACGCATTCATCAGTTGTTTCGTCAAGCCAAGTTTGATGATCCTAGCGGTCATGTAAGCAATGGAGTCTATATTATGAGTCCCTTTTCTATATATTTCATCACACATTTTCCCATTATTATTGTATATTCCTTACTTTTGTCATTTTGTATGTCTTTAATAGTAAATATTTATTTTCAGTGTCTTAGCCCTGCTGGTGAATACAATCTCCGGCTAGGAATCATAAAAGAGCTGCACCCAGACATGGTTGCAACTTATTCAGGCAGGTTGTAGTTTAATATTGAAGTTTTGCTAGATCTTTCTCTTGCCTCAAATGATTGCTTCTTGGAACTTCTATATCTCTTAACCATTTTTTATCCTTGTGTTTGTGGATCATCATGGGTATTTGGCTTACTTTCTATCTGACTCTTTGTTGGGAGTTCTAACGGGTAAACGGATGCCACTATGCTAGAGGCCCATGAGATTTGTGCTTGGTTTTTCTGGTGATAATAGATATTTTATAATTCTTAAAAGTTAGTTTCCTTTGTCACTACTGCACAGTGCTCAAGTTTTTGAAGGCCATCCATTCATCGTTGAAGCTGGAGTTAGTGTAGGTGGAAAAGATGTCAAGCAAGTTAAGTTTCGCTTCCAACAGTATTTATATGTTAGATAATAGTTTGAAATCCGTGTGTTAAAAAATATCGTTTTTTCTGAAAAAAATAGTTGGAGATAAAGTCAATTACTATGATTGTAGTAATAAGCATAGAGAAAAATATACAATACAAAACAAAAATCTTTTGTTAGATATGCAAAATGATCGGACTTGGAAGAGGAGATGCTTTTTATGTTCTTTGTCCTTGTTTTTTATTATGTTTGCATGCTTCCTGATCCTCCTGTTTGTATTTGTCTTATATTCTAATAAATTATTCTTCTAAAAAAAAAAAAAAAAACTAATTTAACTTCTCAAGATGCTTTCTGATGGATTGTGATAATATCCCCTACCCCATCCTCCCACCTTCTCTCACTATATTGTATTGCTAAAGTTTGACTGCCATCAATATCGTAAATTAGGTGATGTAGGGTGATTCCTGATCAAGCATTTGATCAACTGGGCAATGTTAAGAGCTAGTTATAAAGTGATGTTTCATTGTGTTCTTAAACAATGGTAATAATTTGTTAGTGACTAAGCACATAACACTTGTTTCCAGGGTCTGAATATATTTCGATTTGCCAATAGAATTCCACTACTTTTTGAGCAAGGTGCTGATGTTGTTACCAGGACTGCACTGAAGAGAATCAAGTAAGTGTGCACAGAAGCATATGTTTTGCTCTTGACTTTCTAATTTTGGGATGAGGTGACAAACTAAGGGTCAATAATTGCTTTACTAAATTCTCTGGCAATTCTATCTGAATAATAACATTTGAAATCTTAATACCTTGTCAGTTGGAGTAGTTACAAAATCAACCAGATACAAGATAAGATTGGTGTCTTTGTAAGCATTGTGAGCACAAAAATTCCATTCAAAGGAACTGGAAAAGAATACATTGGAGATGACATAACTGAGATTGCTTCTGCTGTCAAGGTTTGAAGTCTTTAATTTGTGAATTTCAATTTTATCAATGTTAAGTAAGTTAACAGTATTTTTTCTCTCCAGTATGCTATTCAGCAGTGTTGCATCCAATTGAAATCTAAGATTGTGAAAAAGATGCAGGCCCGTGAGCAGCAGGAGAGGAAACGAAATCTAAGCAGGTATGCCTAAGTTTTACTCGTCCTTCATAATTCCAGAGTCAATTGAGTGATTCTGCGCTTGCTCTTTTTTTTATTTGTAAAGAACCAATTTGACCCAAAAGCTTAAGCTGTTGGGCGAGGCTACTTTAATGGTATTTATACTTCTCTAACACGCCTCCTTACATGAGAGCCCATTAGGCTTAAAAGGTGGACAATGCACATGTCCACCTATCTGTGCTAAGAAACTCTACAATACTGAATTAATTATTAATTAAATGAGGGCGGTGAGGATTGAACCTGTGAATGAGGCTCTAATACCATGTAAAGAACCAATTCAACCCAAAAATTTAAGTTGTTGGATGAGGCTATTTTAATGGTTTTTATACCTCTCTAACATTATTTTTTTAAATGAAATAAAATATGATTCCTACCAATTGGCAGATATATTCCTGATGCTACTGCTGCAGTATACAATGTTTTGAAAGAAATGACACAGTTACATGCATCAAAGAAGAATCGTTATGGGGATGATGATATAGAGCTCCTGAGAAAAGTATCAGAGAATTTGATTACTAAAGAAACATTGAGTGAAAAGCTGGCTAAACATGTTGAACAGGTATGCTGTTTGAATTTATTTTTTTGTGTATGTGAGTGTGTGAAAACTCAGTTTTCTTACAATTTACAAACTAAAGTATACCTCAACCTGCATAGATGGAAACTGTCGGGGTGGCAGTTAAATTGATCCAAAGGAACAAGTCTTGCTTGTTTGTCATGTGAACATGTCCACCTTGAGTTAAAAACTAGATTTAGTTATTGTAACTAAAACAAGGGGTAGCTTGAAAGAGCTACAACATTAGCCTCATAAAATTTTCTGTAAGACTTTTTATGACCATCATCAACGTATCTCTTGTTCAGGAAATTTTTCTTTAAAATCTGGATTCTGTGCTTAACTTCTTATAGCTTTTCCGAGCAGCGGTGGGTAGTTGAATTAACTTTACCCGAAACACCAAATGGAGCTTTAGGCAATACCCTCTAGTATTGTGTCCTGTCCTTACTATAAACAGAAGAAAAAGGGACCGGGAAGGGAGGAGGAGGAGGAGGAGGAGGTCTTCAATTTAGGATTTTATTGCTGAAATTTTGTATATAATGTGTACGTGCAGGTGGACTATGAAATGGCATTGGAGTATGCCACACAGAGTGGAGTAAGCGAGGAACCCAGAGAAACAGTATACATTCAATCATTGGAAGCTGAAAATAAGATGATTGACTTACGTGCTCCATTTATGGTTTTCAGAGTCTTTCAGTAGATTTAGAAAATTGATTTGAAAATGAAAGTGAAATTGATTTGAAAATGAAAGTGAAATTGATTTTCCAAATTAAATTTATATAGGACATAAAGGAGCAAATGTTGTATTTATTTATTTTTCATTTGTAAGATATGCCAATAAGATTGATAAGATATTACAGAGGATTCTGAAATTATGTTTACACATACACCTACACTCTTCATAAATTTTCAAGACTAGTACTAAAGATTCGTTACAGAGGATTCTGAAATTATGTTTACACATACACCTACACTCTTCATAAATTTTCAAGACTAGTACTAAAGATTCGTTACATTTACTAAAATTAGAAAATATGATTAATCTATTTGCATTTATTCTACTTCTTTTTAATGTTACATGAATTAACATATTTTTAATTTTAGTGAGAAAGTATGTCCTACACTGTAGGAATTCGGTAGTAAGCATAAATAATGACATAACTCTTAATCCATATTCTTTTTAGGTTTCCCAGGGTGAAAAAAAAAAGGTGGGTTTAGAATTGTGTCATAATGACAATTCTAAACCAAGAGCATGTTTCTTTGCCATTGATATGTGATGCAAATATCAAAATCAATGGCACAAAACCAAAGCTATGTTTATTGTGACGATAGAGTTATGGGACAATCACTATTCTTGCCATAGGCAGACCCATATCGTTGCAAATGTCTGCAAGGGGAGACACAAATTTTTGAAGAAAAAAAGTTTAACTACATGGCATAATACCTTTGCCTTATTTGGCAGAGTTGTCAATTACAGTGCATAAGATAAGTCTTCTATTAAATGTATAAGATGGGCCTTGGAAAATAAAAAACTAAAACGATTAATAAGACAGTGATAGCCCTTCTTTTCGTTAATATAAATTTGTCATGGAAAATTATTTGTATAAATTTATGAACGATTAATATAGTGAATTATTATTTATTAATACATCAATATATTTTTAAATTTTTTTTTAATAGTAGATATAATATAAGTCTTTTATTGATATGTCTGTTAAGAAAATTAAACTTCATCGACAATAATTGCAATTAACCGTCCGACTTTTATAATTTGATTACACGCAATTTGATGACAATGCATATAAAGAAAATAAATCTTGTAATTATAGTACCAAAAATGAATTTTTACATTAGATACATACATATTTTTCTATGAGAGATTCATAAATAACACTATTATGATGCACTAGTATGTTTGTTAATTGTTTGTTAATTCGTAAAAAATATTAAAAGAATTAACAAACAAGTGTAGTGCATCATAATAGTGTTATTTATGAATCTCTCATAGAAAAATATGTATGTATCTAATGTAAGGATTCATTTTTGGTGCTATAATTACAAGATTTATTTTCTTTATATGCATTGTCATCAAATTGCGTGTTATCAAATTATAAAAGTTGGACGGTTAATTGCAATTATTGTCGATGAAGTTTAATTTTCTTAACAGACATATCAATAAAAGACTTATATTATATCTACTATTAAAAAATAATTTTTTTAAAAAAATATATTGATGTATTAATAAATAATAATTCGCTATATTAATCATTCATAAATTTATACAAATAATTTTTCGTGACAAATTTATATTAACGAAAAGAAGGGCTATTACTGTCTTATTAATCGTTTTAGTTTTTTATTTTCCAAGGCGCATCTTATGCATTTAATAGAAGACTTATCTTATGCACTGTAATTGACAACTCTGCCAAATAAGGCAAAGGTATTATGCGATGTAGTTAACTTTTTTTCTTCAAAAATTTGTGTCTGCCCTTGCAGACATTTGCAACGATATGGGTCCGCCTATGACTCCAACAGGTACTAAGTTCAGAACCTTCAGAGAACAAGGTGGTTCCTTATTCCTAAGGCAACCAATAGTATTGCTTTCACAATCCTACTTTCCTCCTATGATTAAGTTGTCTGAAATCCCTTCCTTAAGGAAGTTTCTTTTTCAGTTGAGTTTAATTTCCATTGATACAGCTCACTTAAATCACAAGAATAAAAAAGCTTCAGTGCAAAAGTTTTTAGTACAGTTCTTTACGAATTTCACAGTTTTTTCATTCCAAAATAACTTAGCCTATAGCTGAAAACATAAACATAATCATTTCAAACTGAAGTCCCATAGACCCGAGATTCAGTTTGAAGATAACGAATGAAAGAGAAGAGAAATAATAAACATATATTAATAAGAAATAACTTCAGATTACAAAGAAATAAAATGGAGAAGTATGGGTAATGCTCGTGAAGAGTCTCAAATGGTGAAAAGAGAGTGGGGGACGGGTTGTTGTCACTTAACTATTGTTAAAACTATACAAATAGAAACTAAACTATTCCATGTGATCTCTTCTTAAGGAATTTGATACTTTCTTCGTGTTGGAATGTCTTATTTATAGGCCAGAAGAGATGGCAATCTTATAATTCTGCTTTAGTTGTTCCTTGATTGCATGAAGAGGCGGTGCAAACAGTGCTCTGCTATGTGGTGCAAGTTGTTGGATGGGACAACTTAAGGTTGAGAATTGCCTTTTTCTACTGACTCTCCCATGCTTGCTTTTTCTCTAACCCAATGGTGTACTTTTTTATGCTTTTTGGAGGCTTCTTTTCAACATTTCCTGCAAAGTGGTCGAGAGAGGGGGTTAGTGGAGCAGGTGTGTAAATAAGTCAATATGTTCCTCTTTTCTTGCATTCTCAATTGATTACATTATCATTCGTTCCCTGCTGGTGCTTTTGTTCCCAAGATCTAGAAATGTGTTTTTAAGGCAAAAAATGGCCACTAGCTGAAGGAACAAATGAAATTTTACCATCAAAATAAGCTTAGATGAGAACGAATTTCCGTCCTATCAATCTCCAGTAAGTAAAGTTGTTTGTGGGTCAGCTTGAACATGTCATCATCATGGGTTACGCTACTGGTCTCTATCTCATCTCCTTCAGAACCCATCGAACCCGGGCTTTGATGCCACTGTTGGGACGAACTCGGTCCCTTAATCTTGGCTAAAAAGCCTTTGCGGAAGTTAAACGTCGAGCTCGGAGCTCGTCACAATCAAAGGTCAGCCTGAATCACTAGGTCGGCCAACCTAGCGAAAAAACCAAAAAAATTCAAAGAAGAGAGAGAGAAAGAGAGAGAGAGAGAGAGATAAACATAACAATCTTTTAACATGGGAAAACCTTCTCCAATGCGAAGAAGTAAAAACCCACAAGACACTAGTTCAGAATCAAACTTCCACTATGAAAATAATGGGTACAAGATATCGAATTTCACCAATAATGGTGGTACGCTCAAACCTCACATACAATGATGGTATTCTCTCAAACTTCCCTAAGGAGGTCTAACACTCAAGCTTCTCCCTAGAGATACTCTCAAAATTGTCTCACAAAATGTATAAAAGTCTAACCCTAACCTTTCACATAACACAGACTTATATAGGAGAGGAGGGAAGATTCTAGAATATCAAAAGTAGGAATTAGGGTTTCTTGAGCCTCAAGATTCTTGAGCCCTAAGTTTCTTAAGCCGCACAAAAACATTGGGCCTTATTAGTATTTAAGAAGGAAAAGCCCAACACTACTCTCACGGTCAGATGATAGAGTTGCAGCAACATTGGAGCAATTATTGGGCACAAATGGAGGTTGCAGTGTTGAATGTTGTGTTCGTGTCTCCTTCCACCTCAAAGTGATTTGAGCCTCACTTTTTCTTTCGGTATGGTTCCATCTTCAATCTTTTTCTTTTTTCTTTTGCAAGAGTACCAAAGTTCCTCCCTTCTCTGTTTCTTCACTTATTCATCCCTATTTCCCTTTCTTTTTTCACTCTTCTAATTTTGTGCTTCTTTCTCTCTTCATTGCTTTAATCTATTCTCTCACAAAACTCTTCCTCTTCTTCTTTTAGAAACGCGGAGCCCCTCCCAGAAAATCTCCTTTGATTCCTTCCCCTATATAGTGTTGGAATTAATGAACAATGATCTATTGATTATGAATAAGAAGTGGGTTAATAAAGGAAAGAGAAAAGGGAAGTTGAAGAGGTGTGTGGGTTTTAACAAAGTCCCACATTGGACAAATAGTAGAAAATGGGAGAGTTTATAAGCTCCCAGCTCACTCTCCTAGATTGGCCCTTTGGGTCACTACACATTTTGTGGAGGGGGAGGAGCTAGGTGGGTTGTGGTCCACCACACACGCACGCGCGCCGCCACCGTCCATCCGGCCGGACCGGTTCGGTTCGGTTCGTATGTGTGTAATAAAAAATATTACACACACGTTGCTTCCCTCCAAAAAAATTAATATTTTGTCTAAAAAATTTATTCGTTGCTTCACTCCAAATTACCCAAACGTTTCTCCCCGCCGATTTTTTGAGCAATTTTGAACCGAACCGGTTCTTCACTTTCGCGAATCGGTCATCGGTTGTGTCTGCTCCCCGAACCGGTCACCGATTGTACCTGTTCGTCAGAACGGTCACCGGTCTGCGGTTCGCCGCCGGCGACTGTTCATCGTGACCGGTCAGTGTCTATAAATAGACACTGACACTTTTAGAAAGTGAATCCAATTTTTCTGCACTGAAACTCTGCCGGATGTTTTCTTCTTCCGGTTTTGCATGTTCTTTTTCATACTCCGGTGTAGTTTCCTCTGGCATTCAGTTGTGTTCATTTGGGCTGTTGATTGGTAGTGCCACCATTCTTCAGACGAAATCCGTTCTATCCTGGGAGACAAGTGTCCATCAACCTTTGACATCAGTGAATGGCCAAATTGTCTTAAGGAGACACGTTCTGTGGGCTCGGATTTTTACTCCTCTGATACTGCATATCATTATCATTTTGTTTCATATATCTGACAAGTAAGTATGTTCTTATTTTATTTATAATTGCACAGTGACAATTCTGATCATCTACCTCATTTGCTTTATACATGGGTTCAAATCTCTTAGTGATATAACATCACCCACTGTCTTCAATAACATATAGTACTCCCTCTTGTGAAGAATTTTTTTTCCACTCCAACTCTCTAAAAGAAAAACCCCCCACTCTAAGTGACCACCTTTTGCACCTCTCCTCGCGCACTAGTGTATTTTTTCTGCCTAATATGATTTCTTGATTCTCCTCTACTCCATCCCATTGGTGGTCAGTTTGTGTCAGACATGTTGCTTTTTTGTGTGTAGGGT